GAAGAGTAGATGCCAACTTGTTTCTCCCATTTCCCTTCTCAGGATATCCTTCTAAGGGACCTACTAATTCACAAAGGTACCAACGGTGTTGGCTACCTAAGAAATTCATACCTCTGGCTCACAACTGAATTGTTTTCTCAAATATGGAGATATGTTTATAATTGATAAATTGTAAGAATCTTAAAGCATTCTTGAATATCTTCATTCCAATTTTTTTTAAAAAAACAATCAAGAAATAATTAAGTTATGTAGAGTGGCAGGGCACAAACATTTTGACACTAGAAAGAAGGCTTTGCTCTTAGGAAATGTGGAAATCACTGAGCTTAGAACTTTGGTTTTGGCTCTGAAGCCCATGCATCTGAGGCAAAGAGTGGGGGCAGCACAGTTTCAATGCAGACAGAAAGGGTTTCATTACCCACAGCAGTGAACACTATGTAGGAAATTTCCAGCAATAGTCAATGAATGCATTTTCCAGTTTTCTAATTTGTTTCCTTCTCCCTGGATAGTGTGCATGATGTAAACTTATGAGAAGAATGTGGAAGTACTCAAAGGTGTAGAGACTGTACATTCGTTTTGAAGTAGACAAAACATTATTTACTCTCACTTCTATCCATCCTATTATCATCATTCAAAAATGATTAAAAAAAACTTCATTTCTCTAATGAATGGGGTAAATTGGGGAGGGAGTAAAAATTAAAGCAACTGAACATGTTTTATAAACTGCTAAAAGCTTAAAAGAACATTGTTAACTTTCAGGGATATTTGCCAAAGTGCAATTTATAGAAGTCAGGAAAACTGAATGAGAATTGCCAATGCTTAGCAGCAATGAATTAGAAAATAACACTTTCTAATTTTTTAGAATATTTTTCTACTTGTAATCACATCTACTATAGAATTTGGAAAATGCATAAAGAGAAGTATATGAAATAGCATTAAACATCATGCAGTGTTTTATATGCTTGTATATATCTTAATCTATTGCTGCATCTAAATATATTCACAAACTTAATCAATATTATTCGTGCTGTTTGATCACTTGCTTAAAATTTTAATATATAATATTAGGTATATATAAAGTGCAAATTATTCCATATGATCCAGCAATTCTACTCCTAGGTATTTATCCAAATGACACAGAAACAGTAATTCCAAAGGGCACCTGCACCCCTATGTTTATAGCAGCACTATTTACAATAGCTAAGCTTTGGAAACAACCCAAATGCCCAAAAATAGATGACTGGATCAAGAAGATGTGTTACATATACACAATGGAATATTACTCAGAAATCAAAAAAGATAAACACATGCAGTTTGCAACAACATGGATGGAGCTAGAAGGGATCATGCTTAGTGAAATAAGTCAGAAAGAAAAATAAAAATACCGGATGGTCTCACTCATAGCATGAATTTAGAAAACCTAAATAAGAGACCAGGAAAAAGACTAATCAATATAAAGTAATAATCAAAATCAACAAGCAACTATAAACCAGAGACACACTATTGGGAGGGGGGGAATTAGGGAGAGGGAGGGAGAGGAAGAACTAGAGTCAAAATAAAGGGGGGGTGCAATTGTATGGAGAATATAACCAAAATGAAAATGCATATATTGTACAAAGATAAAAAATGATGTAAGAATTATATAAAATAAAATATTAAAAAATAAAGTGCAAATTATGATAATAACCATGTTGCCACACCCAGCTTATAGAGTTAAATATCGTCAATATGGGTCCTCCCCGGTGGCACAGCGGGTTGAGCACAGCACTGTGAAGCTGTCTGCAGCCTCTGGAGTGTGGATTCGATTCCCAGCCAGCCAGGGAGATACCCACATGGTGCAACAGACCTTCCTGTCTCGCCTGCTGCTCCCCTCATCAGTGCTTTCAGTCCTTCTGCCTGTTCTTCTCCAGGCTCTGTCTCTGGTGAATCCCCTCACCCTCCCACGCCTCTGGCCTATACCCCAGCTATTGTATAAATAAAAAATAAATCTTAAAAAAAAAATCACCAATATGGTTCAACTTGTCTATGAGCTCCTCCCTAACTTACTCTTATAGTAGCATGTTAAATTTTGTGTTTACAATTTCTTTTCTTAAAGTTTTTCAACCATTTAAACAATATTTCATTTTGTGTTTATTTTAAATGTCATAATAGTTGCTTTCTTCTGTAAGTTTTTTCTCACAATTATTTTTGTTCAACTATGTATTTAAGATTCATTATGCATATTTATATTTTAAATTTTCATGACAGTATAATGTTCAATTGTGAGAATATACTGTACAGTCAGGCATCACTTAACAATAGTTTGGTCAATGATGAACCACATCAATCACAGTGGTCCCAATATGCAGGACCATTCAATACAGCTGTGTATTTATACTACTTACTACTTCCCTAGGTTTGTATAACTATGCCATTCACACAGTGAGGAAATCACCCAACAATATATTTCTCAGAATGTATCCCCCTGATTAAGTGTTGCATGACTGTACTCAAGTTTTATATGGATGGACATTTTATATGGATGGATATTTATATGGATGGACATTTGCTTTTTTCTTTTTTTATGTTTCAAAATAATGCTATCATGAAATCATGAATTTTTTTGTTTGTTTCCTGGTAGATATTTTGTAGGAATTTTCCTAGAGTACAGAACAGGATTAGACTAGATCACATATATAATTAAGTTGTTTTCCTAAGAAGTTGTACTTCATTAATAATATATAGAAGTCTCTATTCCCGTACTTCCTGGTAATAATATGTTCTCTAATTGGCATTGCCTGTTATGTCTCATTATGGTTTCAATTTTAATTTCCTTAATTTTTTCAGACACTTGTGTTTCTTTTCTGTGACATATGTACCTGTTGGAGTCTTGTCCACGTGTCTATTGTTTCAGATGACTTTCCTTATTGACACATACCTAACATTATGCATTATTAGAAAAGGGATATTCTTTTATTGTTACCAAAATTATGGATGACATTGTAATGGACTGACTAGAGCTATTTCTAACCATTTGCTCCCTTGCTATCACTTTCTCAGATTTACTTGCAGTTATTCCCTTTTAGTTATAGTGACCATGTCACTCATTTTGGGGCAATGCAAGCCTAAGTCTTTGGTGGATATAACTGAGAAAATGTTTACTTTTCTATAAAATTATATAGATTCAGCTATGACAACACTGTACCATCCTTGCTTAATCCTGACATGAACGCAGATTTGATGCTGGGAGCTGCAGCAGCAATGGAAATGTGGACATGTGGAAAAAGCTAAGAGATTTATGAAAATCCTGGCCTTGACCATTCTTGCACCCATTTATCTTCAAATATATATGTATATTACATACACACATTCTTGTTTACTTGAATACTATAAATCTAATTTTCTGTGAGCGAAAGCCAAATGCTGTTCTGTTTAATAGGAAATCTTTATCCACTTTCAAATAAAGGATAACAAAACATATACATGGATAACAGGTCAGTAGTTCTAAAGTGCAGTGCAGTTTCTATACCAGAACCATCAATGTCACCTGTTCATCTGTTTACAATGTAAATTATTGGGTCCCAGCCCGGATGTACCTAGAAAGAAACTCTGGGGGTAGCCTCAGGAATCTGTGTTTTAACAAATCCTCTAGGTAACAAATCCTCTAGCTAAAGTGTGTGAACCACTGTCACAGGGAAGTGTTGTAGCAGAAGGATTGCAATCTTTGGTATTAACCTCAATCCTTGCTTTGCCACTTTTTTGTTGCATAATCTTGGCTTTTGATTTTGAATATTATCAATAAATGGGAAAATAACTCCTACAGTTTACCAAGTACAAAAAGGAGGTTTTCAATATGGAGTGCTGATAATAATACTGATGAAACAAATAATACTTTAGATAATACTATTAATATTTATTAATTTATAAGTGAGTTTTGGAAATATAAAAGAATAAGATCTTATATTCGATACTCGCAAAAGGTAGGAAAGATTCACAAGCAATTTTGATTCAGAATGCAAATTGCTTAGTAAGACTCTTATGACCTGACCACACCCTTTCTTTCATCCTTACATAGCATTCTGCCCCTCATGTGTTCAACTTCACCTACTTGACCCTTTATCTTGCCCAAGAATATTCGTTCTTATTCCATGGCTTTTGAATATTCTATCTTATTAACCCGGATCCTCCTCTCCTCCAGCCTTCCTTCTCAGTCCATGTGAATCCCACTTGTTCTTATCTTAACATCATATCAGCATGTATCTCCCCCGCCAGGTCCTAAGTTCCACTCCAGCTTATTGTCAGTTTGTTAATGGTATTCCTAGCATAGCCTCACACAACGTAGAAGGGGCAATAAACAAGGAAGAAGATTTTGTTAGATGAGCAGGTGAATATCTTTCATCTCTTTCACTTCCCAAGTCTCAATGTTTTCATTTTTAGCATGGGCTAATAACTTATGCCTCCGTGTGGTTTGAGAAATAAACATAATCATTGTGCATAAGTGATTAGAGAGGTAATTACAATGTGTTTTGGGTGGCTTGTCTCTGATAAAGGGGGCAATCTGTATTCCCCAAAAAGCAAATTTCCTTCCAACTCCATTCCTTACATCTTACAAGTAATATGTAACAAGTAATTCTTATGACCGTAATTATTACTGATGATCCAAGATGTTCTGATATCTTTCGTATACCAAATACTTAATTTTATGACATGCTTTATTATTATCTGCTTTTTTATAGATAAGGAAGCTGTAAGGCTAGCAGAGACTGAATGCTAGACTCCTGCACACTCAGCACTGCCGATAGACATGCACAATGAAGCTGGTGGGTCAGACACTGCCTAACCAGAGACCCTGCTATTTACAGGATCTGTCTTCTGCATTTGCTTCATTTTGTTCTTTTCCTGAGAAAAAGACAAAATAGAATAAAACACGCTGTTACCTGTTTTTTTATTTTTTTAGAAAAGCAACTTCCAAAGACTGCTTTGAGGTCAATACAGATTTTCATTCCAATCTTTTCTCCTCCTAGATCCACAGACTCTGAAATGAAAATTGACACCAAGCCATTGACCCTAAGGCTGGATCCTCCACCAGAGAACAGTGGCTGAGTCAGGTATTGTGCAGCCTACTTTTGAGGTTCAGAAATTAGATGAATACACATTACAGAGATTTTGCCACAAGTATTGAAAGCAGAAGTCATTTATTTTAACCAGAGTTCTTACTTTACTAACTTAACATGTGGTAGGTGCTTCATAAATGCTGGCTGAAATGCATGTCATAAGTCTCATGATAGAGTGAGATTTTCTTATAATGTCCATTGGAGACAAATATGAATGCCACTTAATATGGCCATCCAGATTTTACAAAATATTCCCCAATCTACCTTTTCTAATTTCTTTTTTAAAGATTTATTTATTTTATGCATACAAAGTGTACAGACCAGAGGTGTTGAAGGTGAGAGGATTCACCAGAGACAGAGTGGGGAATAGAGCAGGCAGACTGACTGAAACACACTGCTGAAGGGAGCAGCGGGTGAGGCAGGAGAGGTTTGCTGCGCCATATTGGTAGCTCCCTTCCCAGGGATCGAACTCATGCTGCAGCGGCTGCGGGTAGCTTCGTAGTGCTGCGTCTTAACCCCTTGTGCCACCAGGGAGGCCCCCTACCTTTCTAATTTCTTCCCTTAATGTAATTACGCCTTACCCAGGACTCTAACCACTCTCACATGCTATTTCCTACCTACACTCTTATGGCTTAGTCCTCAATGTCTTTGCCTGTGCTGTTTCTGCTTCCTGGAATTGCTGCACCACACCCTAACTATTTTACAAAATCAGGACATCTGATCTTCAAGGTCTCTGTTAGAATGACTTCTCCATGATGCCTGTCCCAGGCAAGACATATTCACACTCATGAGCTTCTGAATATCCTGGAAATAATTACTGTGACAGTTTCCATTTGGTGGCACAGTGAGGCTTGTGGATGAAGCATAGACATCAGAATGAGAGATGCCTGGACTCAAATCCCAGCTCTACCACATAAAAGTCCTGCATTCTGATGTGATGTACCCAAATGGGCACTTCCATTTCCTCTTTGGGAAATGAGGATGCTCTGCCCTCCTGTGAGAATGAGGGGGACATGCAAAGGGTCAGCATAGGGTGGTTGAAGGTCAGCAGTCACCACATTCTGGTCATACAGGTCCTCAGCTCAATTATCATCTCTTGAGAGTGGTCCCTAACTAATATCCCACCCCTCTCGCTTCCTTTCTTTAAGCTTTGGGTTCAAGTTGTCCAAGTTCAGATTCCAACTCTACCACTTAGTTTGGGTAAGTTTGATCCAGTTAGTTAATTCCCTTCCTTCACTTTACTCCTAGGTAGAGAGAGGTTAGAAGTTATAACGAAGTCATAAGCACATTTCAAGAATCATTTTAACCTTAGATTACTGCCAGATGCAAAGTATATTCTAGCTGTTTGTGTATTGCTCACCCCTCTCTCCCGGGTGCATATTCATTCCAGATTCAAGGAGTGTTTCATTTCATGTTTGTCAAATGAACAAATTCATACACTCAAGCACTTTTCTTTTCTTCTTGCATTATCTCACTGGTTCTTGGGATGGAATGTGGGCTCCCACAGGGCAAGAATAGAATACCATTGCTATTACACGCTCAGTGCCCAGCACAGTTTGGCACCAGATGATACTTAGGCAACTTCATGGAATATAATGGAAAATTTTCCATGACAGATTCCTGCCCGGATCTGCTGGTAGTGAGTTCATTAGCCTCAGCTGGCAGAATCATCAGCGTTACACCCACCACTCAGCAACTTCTTGCCACCACTCATTCAAGCCCACTTAGTAGAGGGTGACCCAGGGATGGCAAGCCACTTCCTCTCTGGCATGACAAAGAGCCAAACCATTGTCTCCCTTGACTGGGTACAAGATTTACCTTGTTCCACTGGCAGATTCATTTAGACGATGCCCATTTTGGCTGGCAACAAGAGGGCTTTTTTTCTTTTCATGGCTCTCTTCCCTTGAATCAATGTTTGTTTCCACCTCCCTCTACTTACAGGGACTGCTAAACTGGTCTGGCACATCCAAAGTAAGAGGTGAACATGGGCCATCATCAAAGGGTCTTGGGATGAGAAGGAAGGTCCATCCTGATGAGGTCTGAACAAGTCAGAGACTCTGCATTACAGTAAAACCAGTCACCTCCTTGGAGGGGTTCTTGAACCTCTTTGAAGCTTCCCAAAAGAGGTGGCATAGAACGGGTGGAGGGGCGGCCAATTAAAATTCACTCTAGAGCAACAAAGAGAAGTAGGTCATGGCTGACGAACAGAGCAGCATTGACTGGATGAGGCCCTGGCACCAGAAGCCCACATCTCTTGAATGTTGTTTCTTTTCCAAAAAAACAAAAGGACCCCTGAAGCATGGAGTCATACTGTCCGTGTCTGTGTTTATAAAGTGTTTCTTTCATGTAGAGCCCACAGCGCAATCCCTTTGGCTTATTCTCCATTCTCTTCCTTCATCTCTACAGATCACAGACTTTGTCCATTCCCAATGCCATCATCACTGAATTTTCTTCCTATTGCCAGATGTAGTATCTCCACATAGCCTGCAGACAGATTCTGAGTCTGCAATGAGACAGATGCCATTCCATAATGCATTCATCCTTCATGCCAGTGTGAGAGCCTTTCCCCAACCTTCTTCTGGCTGATCATTATTTAGGTCAGATGAGAGGGCATGGAGAAAGGTGGGGAGAGAGGGAGAGAAACAGAGACTGAAGAAACCATGTCAGTATGAGATTTCAAATTTAGCATTTTTGAACCAGATGTGACAGACAGCACTCAAGAGACAGGCCTACTCTGCTTTTACTTGTGTGCTCTTGGAAATGGGCATAAAAGTTGGAGCATGAGGATGTCAGTTACAAAAACTTACAGAACAAGGACTTGTGCTAAGAGCTGCACGTCATTATAAATTCACTAACTTATCTTATTTTTTAGACACAGCCACTGCTGTACAGTCCCTTCATTTTGTACATGATCTTTAATCTGGCTCTCTGTGGCATAAACAAACCTAAGTTGGCATTTATCAGTCTAAAATGTGTCCAACTGAGGCCAACTGTTTGGATAGAGTTAAAATCTGTCATGTTTGCTCAGTTTCATTAAGGTAAGAGACCTAAGTTTATTTTCCATAGTTGTCAGTTTAGCTACTGTCACTATGATTTCTATGATCCTCATCACAGAGGGGGGTGAGCATGTTCCTGTCGGGGGAGAATAGCAGCCCCATGTTCACCATGGTCATTTTGTCAACTGAATGTCAGCAGTGCATAAAGTAGAAGAGCCCTGGTTGTTAAAAAACCAAATGTTATCTATTCAAGAACCATCTGTGGTGGGCCAAGACATAGGCTATGTAAACAAAAGAGGGCTTGAATCCAGATTTCTGGTTCTAAAACTCTTTCTGGGTGCCAAGAGACCATCATAAATGTAAAGTTTATCAATGTTAAAAATATCATCAGTCTGTAAGTGGGAGGAATAAGGAGTCAGGATAAGTCCATATTGGTAATGAGTAGAGAGAGTTATTTCCTGGAAGGGCTTGGACAGTTTTAATACTTGGCGAGTCTTTCACCTGTCGGTGAACTCAATGCCACTCAAGCTGGCCTTTTGTCCTATTGGTAGGATAGAATGAAGGTCATGGACTTTAGCACCCAAGAACCTTGGCCCATTTATCTTCTGCGTGAACTTGAGCACACTAATTATGGCCTCTGAAATTTCATTTCACTTATAAAATGAACATAGTGCTGCTTACTTAATGCTAAGTCATAGGAATGTTGTGAGGTGTAAATGGGCATTATTGTGGCAATTATTACCACAGTCTAACACATAATGAATATTTAGACCATTGGTTCTGAACTGGGTCAATTCCCCCTCCCCCATCTCCAGAGGACATTGGACTGTCTGAGACATTATTGCAGCTGCAGGATCAGGGACAGTAGATGTTCCAGTGTCCAGAGGGCAGCGGTCAGGGATGCTGCCAAATACCCTATGATCCACAGACAGTCCCCAACAGTAAGATGTCAAGGGACAAGACTGAGGAAGTGGCTGGATGAATAGTCACCATGCATCAGGCACCTTCCTGTCGGTGTCTGATCTCTTCAACTGTGCGGGCTCCAAAATGTGGATGCTGAACATTAAGGTTGCTAATAACACCCACTCACTTGCAAAGAACTTTTGTGTCTATTAACTCATTTAATTTTCAAAAGCAGTTGGGTTTAAGTATTAACACAATCTCCATTTTACAAGTAGGCAAACCTTGGTGTGTCCAGGTCTAGGAAACCACTCTGCTGCTTTCCGTTCTTAAGCATCATCCACACACATGTATCAAGTTTAGGTTACATGGAAGCTCAGTCTTGACTACTTTGGGTAACTGCTCCTCTATGAAATGTGATAAATACTATTCTACAGAGAGTGATTACTACAAGGACAACATGAAATGGTGCCTGCAGTGGGCACTCAAAAATCAGATCTCTATCGGTTCTCCCCAGTGGCGCAGTGGTTGAGCGCTGGGTTGCGAAGCTGCCCACAGCCTCTGCAGTGACGGTTCGATCCCCGGCTGATGGGTGAGGGCCCCACATGGCGCGCAGACCTCTCCTGCTGCCCGCTGCTCCCCTCAGCAGTATATTTTGTCTGTCTGCCTGTTCTGTTCCCCACTCTGGCTCTGGTGAATTCTCTCACCCTCCCGCGCTTCTGACTGTACCCAGTGCTTGTATAAATAAATAATCTTTAAAAACAATTATTAAAAAAATCAGATCTCTATCAACATCCTTGTCTTTTCTTGAGGACTGGATAACGAACAGTCCTCAGTGCCCTATTTGCAAGCTTCGAGACCCCGCAAGGTGAAGCCATGCTCAGGTGCTATGTTGGGCTCCCCAGCAGAGCTTGCACACAAGTCTCAGGTTTCCAAGACCTCCTAGTCCACAGTTGCTTTGTCTGCTGAGTGATGCTGCCTGTCAGGCGCCACCCTGTGCTGGCCACCGAGACTTTGCAGGAGCTGTCAGTCCTGGTGCCGTCCAGCACCTCAGGGTTGACGCCTTGACAACTGTGTCACTGCTCTC